CTTACTTTTAGGAATCTGTCCGTTCTTCTCTCCATCCTTGATTTCTGCCTGGTGTTCTTTGAGTTCCTCTTGTTTCTGGAGTGTGAGAGATGCCTACAGCTGTTCTGTTTTTCATGGGGAAAAAAAAAGGAAAGGGAAATTATCATTCACTGCAGACCTACTGTGTTCATCCATCCACTTTATCATCCTGGTGCCTCATAAATCAATTGGGGAGTTTAGGATCCAATTACCAGAAAACGCCAACTCAACTGGCTTAAACAATAAGGGAACTTATATATTTCTTCTAACAAGACATAAGCTAGGGTGGCTTTAGAGATGGTGGCTTAACTGTATCAAGAAAAACCCCTTCTTTCTATCTTTCTTCTCTGCCAACTTTAACTTAATGAGTTTTTCTTTGGGCTGACTCACCTCATGGCAACAAATTGGCTGCAGCAAATCCAGGCTTACCATCCTGATGCAATACTGGTTAGGAGAAAGATACTTTCTCTCCCTTGGGCCTCTCTGTAAAGTGGAGGGAAAAATTCTAGAAGCTTCTAGAAACTTCCTCTCAAAGCTTATTTACCAGAATTTTGCGGTCACAAGACAATGCTTGAGCTATCACTGCTGAGGGAATTAAGATGATCGTGATCAGTATAAACCGACCAGGATCTCACCTAGAGGCATAGGAGGGAGGGGTAGATGCTGAAACAACACGAGTGTTCTTTCAGCAGGGGGAAAAAAATAAAATAAATATTGAGGAGGAAACCAGCAGTGTCAGCTACACCGTTTTTCATAGTGAATTAGTTTATGCCGACTTTCAGGGAGGTTCAGTCACTTACATACGGTCCCGCAGCTGATAAAAATAGAAGTCGGATTCAAATCCAGCTCTTTAAAACTCCAAAGCCCATCTATGTACTTTTTTCTGCTGCGCAGCTGGACCCAGAGTCAAACTTCACTTCCCAGAAAAGCCAAAGCCCCCTTCCTCGTGGTGAGCGCCCCAGAAGTGGAGGCAATCACCCTGCTTTCCCCAGCTGACCTTCCGCTGGGCATTTAATCTGTTTATTAAGTTATGACTAATGGTGCTGCGAGACACCGAGGGCTGCACATTCAGACCTAGTTTTAGATTGTTAGAGGAGGTTCAGGGGATAAACATCATATTCATATTCTGTGCTGAGAAAATTCAATTGCAGCTCTTTCTCTTTCAGAGCGCGGGATTGGCGAGGGGCGTCTGCTGGGTCCTGCTTGGGTTTAATAGAAATGAAACCTCCAAGGCAGGCGGGCTGTTTTGGGAAAGTGGCCGCTAATGCGGCCCCTTGGGGCGGGGGCCAGGCCTGAACCGGGCAGTTTGCATATTCACTTTTACAAACAGTTGGCTCCGAGTCAGCAGTTAATGGGATGGGAATGATGTTCCTGTACCGAATCATTTCCTGAAAAAAACATTTCCAGTTGCAAACATATCTCAGCCTTTCTTCTTGTGTTTGTTTTGTCTCTGGGAGTGAATTAAAGAGGCAGGGCAGAGGGGAGTGTTTCTGACGGGGGATTTTTATCTGAAATCATTTTTAACAATGATCTCCAAGTAAAAGAGATCCCGTTCAGACCGACCTTTAGGCATCCTGGCTGCTAATACTGCATTTCTGGGCACACTTTAAAGGTATAAATGTCTCCATTTTCACCAAGTGGCTCTGGCTGTACAACAGTTTTGGGACACATGCGGCTTTTCTCTCCTTCCAAAACCTAAGCTGGAAATGCTGGCCCAGGAATGTGCACACGTGCACACATGTACACACAGGCACACATACACACATGCACACACAGGGTCAGGCCAAAAATTTTGTAGGTTTTTCCTGAGGACAAGCTGGAATCCTTTTTGTATCCTATGTACTGCTTTGGCAAATTATGCTTCAACCCATAACCTGGGCAATTGAAGGGTGGTCTTAATTAACAGTTTTGATTATTCATTTATTCAACAAGTAGTTCTTGAATGCTCACTGCACATGAGGTATTGTTTTAAGTAATAAGAATAACATATATTTACATAGATCTTACCAGATACCCAGAGAGTCTAGTAAATATGTTACATATATTAACTCATTTAGTCTTCTCAACAACCCTAGGGGGTAGGCAATCTTATCATTCCTGTTTTTCCGAGAAGGAAACTCAGTATAAGAGGTTGATGAACTTGCCCAAGGTCACATACAGTAGCTAGTAAGTGATCTTGGATATTAACCTAGGGAGTCTGGATTCTCTTTGGGGAATCTAACAGTGGGCAAAAGAGAAAAAGTGCCAGGCTTCCCACGGCTTATCTTCTGATGGGAGAGGTAGCTAACAGATCTGTAACTAATAATGATTTCAGGTCATATTGAGAGCTTGAAGCAAATAAAACATGAGCGGGAGGCAGGGGGCTAATCAGAGGGTTTTCTAGGTCTTAGGAGTAGGGGTTTTCTTTTGAATGTGACAGGAAGTCTTAAAGCAGGAGAGTGTCTGGCCCTACTTAGCTCTTTATGTATCATTCTGACTGTAATTGGAAGTAGATGGGGTAGGGCTGAGGGGAGGATATGTATTAGAAAGCAGTAGACCTGTGTTGGTTTTGGTTGTCCAGGTGAGAGATAAGGATGGCCTGAACCAGGATGATGGTGGTGGTGCTGGTGAGCAGCAGTTGGAATTGGGTCCTGGTTTGGAGGTGGAGCCCATAAAACAGCGGTTCTCAACCTGTGGGTCAAGACCCCTTTGGCGGTCGAACGACCCTTTCACAGGGGTCGCCTAAGACCATCCTGCATATCAGATATTTACATTACGATTCATAACAGTAGCAACATTACAGTTATGAAGTAGCAACGAAAATAATTTTATGGTTGGGTCACAACATGAGGAACTGTATTTAAAGGGCCAGAAGGTTGAGAACCACTGCAAAATTTGCCAATGTATTAGATGCAAAAGGTGAGGGGGGGGAAATGTTGTTACAGATGACACTTTTTTTGGCTTAAACCATTGTCTACATGCTGGGGCTACTTACTGAGGAGGGTAGGAGTAGGGGAAGAACAGTGTTGTGGAAGTGGGGGTGAGGGTATTGAAAATTAGAGTTCTGTCTGGGATGGCTAAATTTGAGACCTCTGCTAATAGACAAAACAGAAGACATCCAGTAAGCTTGTGGCTCAGGGTCAGGCCTAGGCAGGAGATTTAAATGTAGACATCAGCATTTAGATGTATGGGATCATCTAGGACAATGCTGTCCACTCCTGTGATGATGGAAATCTACATCTGTGCTATTCAGTATGGTCATCACCAGCTCCATGTGGGCCATCGAGCACTTTAAATGTGATAGGTACAACTAAGAGATTCAATTAAAAAATTATTTTATTCATTTCAGAGAGGAAGGGAGAGGGAGAGAGAAATAAGAAATATCAATGATGAAAGAGAATCCTTGATCAGCTGCCTCCTACATGCCCCACACTGAGGATTGAGCCCACAACCTGGGCATGTGCCCTGACCAGGACCTCCTGGTTCATAGGCCAATGCTCAACCACTGAGCCACGCCAACCGGGCAAAGAAACTAAATTTTTAGTTCATCTGCATTGAAAGAGCCGCATGTGGCCAACCCCTCCCATATTGGACAGCACAGACCTGGGGGAGAATGTAGGTAGAGAAGGTCCTGGCCAGTAACAAGCCGTTTCTTCCCTGTCCAGTAGGCGCAGCCTCTCACCCGCATAAAGCGTGACTTTATTTTCACTTCCCATTCTTGCACAGCAGTGCTTATTAAGTGATGGAAATCTTGCTTTGTGAGAAACAGCCTAGAAAAGAAGCAAACTGCCAGTCCTGGGGGGAATAGAAGATATTATAGAAGTCTAAAGAAACAGTTCTCTAGAAAGCAAATACAACCCTTTACCTATAGAATCACTTCAGTCTTGAAGGTACCACTTATATTTTTCATCATGTTTTATGGGGGAGACTTTTATAGGGTAATGGGTGTCTGTGAATTTGGAGATTCAAGACGGTGACTGGCTGATATCCCACATAAATGTCAAGGGCCCACGGCCACGGGATGAAATGCCAGCTTTATAATGCAAGTTGGTCTCTTTGGGGTAGAGTGCCTTTGTTAGGCAATCTCGTTCTCCATCCAACTGCAACCATCAGTGAGTTTGCTAATATGAAAGAACTCTTTGTAAGTGGCTGCCTTGTGCTCAAGAGTTCTTGCAAGTGCATACTGGCAATCGGTGAGGCCAGAGTCAATAAAAAATAAAATAAAATGGAAAGATGGGACATGGCTTCTATTAAGGCTGATTGCAGCTGCCATATTAGTTCTTGAAGAACCTTTTGCTGACCGACACTTTGAGAGATAATGTGTTTTTGTGTGTGTGGTTGATTGGTAAAAAGTAATTATCCGAACTGGAATTGAATAGAGAGGTGAGAGGATTTAAGTCACTGATTTTAGGAGAGATGGGTCCTAGGGCCCTCAGCTCCTTCGAGCTTGAAGGGGTAAGACCAGAGCCTAGGGAAGAGGCTGGACTGAGACTTTCTCACAGCAACTGGAAGGGGTGAAGTAGGACAATCAGAAAAATACTTGGGGATGCCAAATCAGGAGAGAAGGTTGAGCCGAGGATGGAGATGGCGTACAGCATAAAGGCAGCCTTCACATGGTGAGCTCCTTCATCCAGTCAACAGGTATCAGGCTCCCACAGCAAGCCCTCTGAAGGAGGGGCGGCAGGACACCAAAGGCAGACACTTAAGAAAGACTTCCCTGCCCACCTCGCTTTCACTTATTCTGAGATTGTTTCTGAGAGGAGGCAGAGACCTCCCAACTTCCTCCGAGGAAAGGGAAGGGGGTGACAGCTGGACGAGGTGAGCTACAAGGGACAATTCAGTCCTTTTAGCAAGGAGAGCTGGGGGATTGACTGCTGGCTGAGCCACCGCTGTGACCAAACCTTTGTGGTTTTGTTTCTCAATATCAATATCCAACACGTTTGTCAGATCCACCCCCCTGTCGTCGGCGGCTGTGACATGACTGTGCTTTCTTCTCCTTGCAGTGTCCGAGCTTCAGGAGGAGGGCATGAACGCCATCAACCTGCCCCTCAGCCCCATCCCCTTCGAGCTGGACCCGGAGGACACCATGCTGGGTAACTGGGTCTCTTGTTCTCTGGGGTTGCCTGATGCCTCCCAGTGGAGCCACCCGCACTGACCCCCTTTTCTTTTTAAAGAGGAGAATGAAGTGCGAACAATGGTGGATCCAAACTCGCGCAGCGACCCCAAACTCCAAGAACTGATGAAGGTAAGAAGACATCAGGGCTCCAGTTGTCTCCCAGACACAACAGGTGTCTGTAGACCACCCACCCCGCGAGCCACTGCTGGGAGAATAAAGTCACATCAGTGCCTGCCTGCAGGCAGCTCATGGTCCAATAAGTGGACATCTAAGATTTAACAAAAGTGGGACAAATACCCAATGAGTTATGCTGATAATGAGGATCAGAGAAGCTAGTGCAAATAAACTCACATTTGCCAGGGTCTTAGTCCACACACTCCTTTCACTGCTTTTATTAAGGACCCTCAAAAGCTCCTTGTGAGTAGGAATTAGTTGTCAGTCCCCATTTCACAGATGAGAAAACTGAGTCTCAGAGAAGCCAACTGGTTTATGGTCACAGCTGAGTGGAGGAGATGTAATGCAAACAGAAATATATGATATTAAATGAAATACTGTGCCTAACATTTGGCATGTAGGCACCCCTCAAAATGTTCATTTCATTCCCCCTTCCAATTTCCCATCCTATGTTTTTCTTCTTCAACTCCAACTTTCAGTTGAAACAAGACCAATAGGCACTAGGTGCCAGAGTGGTTCATTCAAACTGCAAATCTGAACATATTTTCCCGCTCAAAAACCTGTCTGCAGTTTCCCAACTGCAGGTTGAAGCCCACACTCCTGGGGTGGTATCTGGGGTCTCCATTGCTCTAGCTGCCCCTTCAACCTTAGACTGTCCCCTGCCTGGCCACACATGGACACCAGACCTGCTCCTGGTGGCCTCCCCATACACGCCATGCTTGCTTCCAGCTCACCCACTGCCCTGCCTTTGCTTATGCAGTCCCCTTTAACCAGACACCTCTACTTCCTCTTCAGATTACGGTCAAAGTGGGTTCATGTCCTCCAGGATGCCTCCTATAAACCCTAGTGTTGTTGCTCAGCCCCTCTGGGTGCTGCTATGGTCTCTACATTTGGTTCTGTCATTGTAGTCACCCTATGACACTTCTCTGTCTCCTTCACTAAATACGGAGTTTCTTGGAGTTAGATTGATTGTTCCATCATTGTACTCTCAGGATCTATCACAGAGTGTGACATACAGGAGGTATTAATAAATGCTGGGTGGGTGATGGAGAGAGAGAAGTGAGGAACACACAAGAGGGCCATAGTTAGGGGGTAGCGCTGGGTTTCAACTCCAAAGCCCATACTTGGCTCAGTACAAAACCACACAGCCGAACACTGTGACTGTTGCTTGCCATTAGGGTAAGGAACACTGGTATCACCAGCACTAGAAGGGCTTACACCCGAGAATTAGCAGGGCAATTGAGGCTCACACTTGCGGCTGCTTGTCCACATATTGGGTCGTGTGAATAGCTCTGCTGCTTTCAAGACCGGAAGTTCATTTAAATTGTATGTGTCCAGGATAAGAAAGCTCGTCTATAAGAAAATACCTTATGGCTCTTCTCTTATTTTCTCTCTCTAGGTATTAATTGACTGGATTAATGACGTGCTGGTTGGAGAAAGAATCATTGTGAAAGACCTGGCTGAAGATTTATATGACGGACAAGTCCTGCAGAAGCTGTTTGGTAAGAGGAGAGTTGACTGTTGCGGTGGATCTTTAATAGCAGGTGGATGGACCCCTACTCCTGGTTAGAAGGAGTTGTTCTCATTTCCCAGTGGTTCACCTGCAATGGAATAGGAATGTGTACAGTGTGGAATAACAGACCAGTGGAGCTTTTAGATGTCTCCTCAAAATCGGTTTTACATGAATGAATGGCAAAGGGAGGCTCAATGACCAAATGGGGCTGCTGCCTCCCCTCTCTGCACCCCCTCCCGCAGCAGTCAAGGTCCTCCACTGAATAGATGAAAAGATTTCACTATATACTGGAAAACATGCCTCACCCTCTCCACAAAACTGCATTTGTGGCCTCTGTAGATATATTCACATGTGTCTGGGTGTGTGTGTGTTTGAGCACATGTGTATGGACCTTTGTGATCTATGGGTCTGTGTGTGTGCCTCTGTGACTTATGGGTGTGTGTGTGTGTGTGTGTGTGTGTGTGTGTGTTCCTGTGCGTGCCCTTCTCTAGGTTGGGTGCAAGTGTGTGGGACTACGTGCCTGTGTGATCAGTTTCAGTGTCTGTCACCTCTGTGAAGGTGTGTATCCCTGTGTAGGTTCATGGCTATTCATGTGAAAATTTAAGGCTGTGGGAGAGGGAAAGGAGAATTCAGGGGTGATCTTAGTGTTGAAAAGACAAATTGAACTTGAATGTATTTGGACTTCCCCTCACTGTCTCCATTTTTCTTCTCTTGTCCAAACCTCTGCCCAGAGTTCTAGACTTTCATGCTGAATTGTCCACCAGACACCTGCACACATGGTTCTCTTCCACCTCAGAAATTTGGACAAGAGAAAATAATTATTAAATTAGAGTTGTACAGTTTGGGGAAGTGATGTTTCCTTCTCATTGTATCATATCAGGGAGGACATGATGTTAACATCTTATTATTAGTGGTGTTCACCTTTATCATTTGGTTAAAGTGGTGTCTGCCAGATTTCTTCACTAAAACATTACTATTTTTCTCTTCGTAATTAATTTATTTGGGAGGAGATGGGTTAAGACTTGCACAGATCTTGTTTCTCCTTAAACTTCTTTCACTAATTTCAATTGGTGGAGCAGGCCTGCCTCAATTAATACTGTGATGGTCTAGTGAGGATTTTCTGTTTTCCTTATTCCTTCCACATTTATTAGTTGGAATTCTTCTGTAAGGAAACACTGTCCTTTATTCCCCAGTTACTTATTTCAGTGTGGACACAAGGATGCTTATTTTATACTACACATTATAATCCAATACCATCGTTATTCATTTTTGCTGATATACTTCCAGTTTTGACCGTTGGGGGCTCTTTCAGGTTGGCTCCTGCACACTTTTGACATGCTGCCTCCTTTTTTTTTCTTAGCACTTTCTGGCATCATAAGATATACCAGGCTCATCTTCTGTTTTTCTTACTCTGGCCCTGGAATCAACCACTTCTCCAAGAAGCCCTGATTTCTTTTATTAGATTTGTATTTAGAAATCAATATCTGGGCATATTAGTGAGAGGTGGCTTTTTTTAAAGTACAGTTGACATACAGTATTATTAGTTTCAGGTGTCCAGTATATGAGGTGATCATCCCATCTGAAATCTAGTACCCACCTACACCATAGTGTTATTACAATACTAGAGGCCCGGTGCATGAAATTCATGCACAGGAGTGGGGGGTCCTCAGCCCGGCCTGCACCCTCTCCAATCCGGGACCCCTCGGGGGATGTCTGACTGCCGGTTTAGGCCTGATCCCACAGTCCAGGCCTAGGGACCCCACTGGGCCGGCCACAGCTGCAGGCGCCTGGGACCACGGACAGCTTCGCCCGGGTCTGGCTTTGTCAGGAAGGACGTCCGGTCTAATTAACATATTACCCTTTTATTAGTATAGATTATTGACTCTATTCCCTAGGCTGTACCGTTTATTTCTGTGATTATTTTGTAACTGCCAATTTGTACTTCTTAATCCTTTTCACCTTTTTGACCCAAACCCTCTTCCATAGGGCAACCACCAATTTGTTCTCTGAGTCTGCTTCTATTTTCATTTTGTTTTTAGATTTTCACATATAAGTGAAATCATATGGTGCTTGTCTTTCTCTAAATTATTTCACTTTCCTTAATACCCTCTAGGTCCATCCATGTTGTCACAAATGTAAGATTTCATGCTTTTTTATAACTGAGTTATATTCCATTGGACATACATACATATTTTGGAATAGTTTGAGAAGGATAGGTATTAATTCTTCTTTGGATGTTTGGTAAAATTCACTTGTGAAGCCATCTGATCCAGGTCTTTTGTTTTTTGGGAGTTTTTTAAATTACTGATTGGATTTTGTTATTAATTATCAGTCTGTTCAGATTGTTTCTTTCTGATTCAGTCTTGGAAGCTTGTGTGTTTCTAGGATTTATCAATTTCTTTCAAATTGTCCAATTTGTTGGCATATTTGTTCATAGTATTATAATTCTTTGTATTTCTGTGGTGTTAGTTGTCACTACTCCTCTTATTTCTGGTCTTATCTATTTGGGCCCTCTCTCCTTTCTTCTTTATGAGTCTGGCTAAAAGTTAATCAATTGTGTTTATCTTTTCAATGAACCAGCTCTTGGTTTGATTGATCTTTTCTGTTGTTTCTTCAGACTATTTTGTTTCTTTCTACTTTGATCTTTATTTTTTCTTTACTTCCATTCATTTTGGGCTTTGTTATTTTTCTAGTGCCTTTTGGTGTAAGATTAGTTTGTTAATTCAAGATTTTTATTGTTTCTTTAGGTAGGTCTTCATTGCTATGAATTTCCTTCTTAGAACTGATTTCTCTATGTCCCATAGATTTTGGGTGGTTGTGTGTTTTCATTTTAATTTGTCTCAAGATATCTTTTGATTTTCCCCCCCTTGATTTCATTGTAATTGATTTCTAGTTCCATATTATTGTAATAGGAGAGGATGTTTGCTATGACTTTAAATTTATTAAATTTATTGAGACATTTTGTGTCCTAACATGTGGTCTGTCCTGGAAAATGTTCCATATGCACTTGAAAAGAATGTATATTCTGCTGTTTCTGGTTGAAATGTTCTAAAAATACCAATTAAGTACATCTGGTCTAATGTGTCATTAAGTCCACTGTTTCTTTTTTATTTTCTATCTGGATTATGTATCCATTGATGTCAATAGGGTGTTAAAGTTTCCACTATTACTGTGGATGTCTCCCTTTATATCTGTCAATATTTGCTTTATACATTTAGGTGCTCCTACATTGGGTGCGTAAATGTTTATAAGAGTTTTATCCTCTTGTTGGATTGATCCCATTCTCATTACGAAATGCCCTTTTTTGTCTATTGTTACAGCCTTTGGTTTAAAGTCCATTTTACTTCATATAAGTATTGCTGCCCCAGCTTTTTTTCATTTATGTTTGCATGAAATGTTTTTTTGCATCCCTTTACTTTCAGTCTGTGTCTGCTTTTAATTTAAAGTGGGTCTCTTGTAGGCAGCATATGTACAGGTCTTGTTTCTCTATCCATTCAGCCGCCTATGTCTTTTGATTGGAGCATTTAGTACATTTACATTTAAAGTGATTATTGATAGGTATGTACTTATTGCCACTTTTGTAGTTCTCTTTTCCTTTCTTATGGTCTTGCTGTCTTGTATGACTTTCTATAGTGTTATGTTCAGATTCCTTTCTCTCTTTATTTCTTGATTATATCATTTTGGTTGTTAGTTACCATGTGCTTCCCATATACCACACTATGTTTACAGCAGTCTATTTTAAGTTGATGGTTGCTTTAGTCCGAACACATTCTAAAATCACTACAATTTTTACTCACGCCCTCCATATTCATTTTTGTCATTCTTTTTTATTTCTTTTGTTTGTGGGTAGCCCTTACTTTATTGTTGTAATTACAAATGATCTTTCTACTTTTTTTTTTAATCTTTGTACTAGCTTTATCCATTGCTTTTACTGTTTGCCTGTCAGTGAGAATATTTTTCTCTCTGCTTCTTAAAGAAGTCCCTTTGTTTGTGGTGATGAACTCTTAAGTTTTTCTTTTCTGATAAAGTCTTTATCTCGCCTTTGATTTTAAATGATTGCCTAGTTATCTTGGTTTTAGGTGTTTTCCTTTCATCCCTTTGAATATTTCATGCCATTTCCTTTTGGCCTGCAGTTTCTGTTGAGAAATCAGCTGACAGTCTCATGGGAGTTCCCTTGTATGTTACTATTTGCCTCTTGCTGCTTGTAAGATGCAATCTTTATCTTTAACCTTTGGCATTTTAACTATAATGTGTCTTGATGTAGGCCTCTTTGGGTTCATCTTGTTCAGGGCTCTGTGCCTCCTGGACTAGTAGGTCTATTTTGTTCATTAGGTTGGGGAAATTTTCAGTCATTATTTCTTCAAATAGGTTTTGAATCCCTTGCACTCTCCCTTCTCCTTCTGGTAACCCTATGATGTTATCCCAAGGTCCTTAAACTGCCCCCATTTTAAAAAAATTTTTTTGCTTTTGGTTGTTTCCCACTGTCTTTTCTTACAAAGTGCTGATTTGATCCTCTGCTTCATCGAATCTGCTGTTGATTCCACCAAATGCATCCTTCATTTCTAAGTGCTACTTTTTATATTTTCTATCTCTGTTTTGGAGTTCTCACTAAGTTCATCATCTATTTTTTCCCTAAATACATTGAACATTTTTTTATAACTAGTGTTTTGAACTCTGGTAGATTGCTTATCTTCATTTTATTTACTTCTTTTCATGTATTAAGTAGATAGCTACATCTCCTATCTTGGAAGAGTGGCTTTATGTAGTAGGTGTCCTGTGGGACATAGTCTCTTTTTTCTCCTGATCCAGGTGCTCCAAGGTATCCCTTGTGTGGGCCGCCTGGGCCCTCCTGCCATATTTAAGCCTTTATTGATATTGGCACCTCAGTGTGGTTGATCCTCAGGCTGACAGGCTAAGAGTGCTGACTATAGTGGCTGAGCTGATGTGCAGGAGGCTGACCCCACAGAGCAGGAGTCACTTTAGCAGGGC